CGCTTAAGACCTTCCTTTTTGATAAAGCTTATAGGGATAAAATAAAATAATCGAATAAGAGTGCATTAACGTAGATACGTTGTGCCTCTTCACCTATACATTTTAGTTCTTACTCTTTTACTTAAATCCTAAAAACTTATATTTAAAACTTTATCCAAACCTTTCCCCTCTATGACCTCTCAAGGTTTATTAGAGGGTAACAGGTTGCAGAGAACGCCCGGCCGGGGAGTGTGGAACGAAGTCACTGACCCACTCCTACCTCTGACAAATTCAGGTTCAAATGGGGACCTTTTTCCCTGTGTGTGCCTCTCCACCTCTGTTTCCTACTTGTTACTTGCTACCCTTTTCCCTCAACCTATCCTAAGGGATTGCATGTACTGTATGTAGACACGTTAGTTTAGCTGCTATAGGCTTGGACTGTTGGGGGGGGGGGCACCTTACTCCGTCTTTCTGGCTGTTTGTACCTGTGTACTCTCATGTTCCGATTAACCCAGTTTCCCCCAAATCTCTTTTTTGTGTCCATATATACGCCGGGATCCTGAGTCGAGGCTAATCCTGTTGCTGTGGTCGTGTGTCCTGGATCCTCTATCCTGAGCACTGGATCTGAGTCCTGGACTTCGAGTCGTGGCTGAACCTGTCTCTGCGGTCCTGCCAGACTCTCAACATACTACGTCCCTGATGGCTCCCACAAGATTGCTGACATCCTCGTGGATTCATCTTCTTGTTATAGACACATACATTTCCAAACATTTGGACTACCTATGTTGTAAATGTATTATCTTTTCGATTTACACACGGCATTTATTGCACGTCTGTCCGTCCTGGGAGAGGGATCCCTCCTCTGTTGCTCTCCCTGAGGTTTCTCCCATTTTCCCCTTTAAACTGTGGGGTTTTCTCTGGAAGTTTTTCCTTGTACGATGTGAGATTCTAAGGTCAGAGGGTGTCGTATCGTCATACTGATATTCTGTACACACTGTGAAGACCACTGAGACAAATGTAAGATTTGTGATATTGGGCTATATAAATAAACATTGATTGATTGATTGATATATATATTTGCTTTCATGTTTAAAAATAGTACCGTAAAACTTTCAATATTTCATTGTATCACTGTCCAGTTACTAACCATCTCCAAAGGTCATGTTTTGCCTTGAACATCAAAATAATTATCTTGTGAAACGATTCAGGTATTTTTTATATGAATCATTTGTGAATTGCTTCTACTGTAACTTCCGATAAGGCCTGGCCCATCGATGTCATAGAACTGCATAAACTCTGAGTCAATGAATGTGGGTCAGGCAGTGTAGGAGATGGACCTCTGGTGGGCTTCATTGACGCCACATCCAGTATGGCCAACTTCACAAACACACTCATACACACAGACAGACACACACACACACACACACACACACACACACACACACACACACACACACACACACATCCATACTATGCCTGAGAAGGCTCCAGATCAGTGACTCTGTATGAAATGCCGGCTTTGTCTTCTCCCACAGTGGCCACTTGTCATTCAGGGCCACTATGTAGGTCTGTTGTTGTCTTTCAATATTTGCTGCCAGTTGATCGGTGCCATAATGCTCTGTAGGCAGAGAATACATTGGCTGTCGTACAATCGCCTTATTGTGTCTGCTCTGAGAAACATCAGCTGTGACAAAGTGTGAGAATAGACAGAAAATGAAAGTTATTGTACTAATGGACTGATAGTGGGGCCGATGTCAGTAAGTGAGTGACTTGTGATTATTGTGACTCAATTTGATCATGACAGTGGGTTTGATGAGGCATGACTAATATAGCTGAGTTCTTTGTTTTTTCTTCGCATATGACCATTACTAACAACAAATTGCTATTGTCAATGTATTATAAAAACGACTCGTGTATATTATTATTGTGCTAGATTTATAAAAGTCCCACTCTAGTTGTGGCTGGGATTTAACATTCCCACTAATAAGAATCAGGAGGAACAATAGATCAGAAGACAAATAAATGCTTTATTCTTGGGGAACGTTGAGGAATCTTATTTGGATTGTGTTAGCTTTTAAGACACAGCTAAGCGTCAGACAGTCACAGCAGGGTTTATTTCGTACAACATTACTTTTAAATCTCCTTCTCACAATTACCAGAAACTTTACTTCAGGTGTCTTGACGGAAACCAATTCAAAAAGCCCTACTGAATTTGAGACGAGGGAACAGAAAGATTTAAGGGTTTTAGGACTCTTTTATGCACCATATTATTGGTAGTCTATTCATGGAGATAAGATGGAAAACCATTTTACCATTGGAATAGAAATGTAAAATAACTGGATGTAAATCCTTTATTTGAGTAGGTTTCATGTATTAATGTGAGGAAGACCAATTTAAAGCTTATTCTTTATCTGTGGTGACACCAGAAATATTAATAACAGGATTTTGATGTAATGGGAATAGTTTGCTAGGTATAAAATTAGCCATATTTATAGTAAAAAAACAATCCAAAAAATATTTAAAGTTGTCTCCATTTGCCTTCTGTCAGTGTGTGTATCAACAATAGGTATTATTTGAAGACTCTGCCTGTAAAACCCTAGAAAGTTAATGATCAGCTGGAAAGTAGGGCTGCATTGAATTGACAATAATAATCGTTCGAGGGGTTTGATTTAATATAAGATTGGGTGAGTTGTTTTTCCTGGTTGGAAAATCATAACTGTTATTTTTGAGATAGCTGAAATCCAATATTTCCCAAAAAAGCAACAGCCATGTTATCATCCTTCCTTGTACAACAGTGACATCTATTGGTGTACTTTATTTAAACACGGGCTGAAAGGTCAGCAGGAAAAAACATTACATTTTTCTGGAGTAATGCATTATTTCCATGGGACCAGAGGAGATCTGAAACCTCCCACTTAATGACACAGTGAGAGCGATGTTAATGTCAGACATTTTTGTTTTCATTTAACATCACATCATAGTTTCAAGTTCAGTTTTCCATATGACAATATTACAGTAATAGTCTGTAACTGTGTAACTGAATATTCTGCAATTATCCAGGGTGGAACAACTTGGTGCTGTTTAATGATATCCTCTGCACTTCTTCTTATTTCATTAGTTGTAATTTCTCCTGTTAAAAAAGGCAGACTTCTTTTAGTTTTTACAATTGTTTCTAGGGTAGATTGAATAAAGTTATATTTGATATATAAATATATATATATTGTTAATATAGTGAGCATAGAGAAGATTGTGTTATTTAAGTGCCATAAAGCACACTATTACTGCAAATAAAAGCAGAAATGCAAACTATATGGTGAATGATGACGGCAAAAACCTTGTTTTATTTCACTTTTAATTTTCATCAAATTATAGTAATCAAAATCCAAAAAGTCCTTTACAAATACAGGATAGCTGAGTTCATAAAAGTCAACACTGTTACATAAATACACCAGGTTTGCAACATTCCTTAATACAGACACACAAAACAAACAGAAACACAAAGGTTTGAAATACATAATCATAGGACTACAAAGTTAAAATGACATACATATATAATGGTCACATATCATTTTCATAATGTGTATGTGTGCGTGTGTGTGTTTTGTGTGAGATTTTCAGTATGTGTGTATATTATGTTTGTGTGATATTGTCCTTGTTTCATCTGGGGCCGAGCTTTAATGGGGCCTTGGGAGATGAGTGGTTCTTCTTGCCGTTGTGGGGCTTTGCTTTCAGGTTTTGTTTTGGTGCCGTTTTCAAGTAAAAATGAAGCTGTGAGGGGAAAAATTGAAAGATAGGTGTAAATTGGAATATTCCTTGTGAATCAGCTGTTATATTCCTGTCTTATGCGCCCAAAGATGCCCTGTTCGTGAACATGGAAACATACCTGTATGGCCTCAGCTGGTCCCACTGTGACCGTGCTGCTGTAGGGGACGTAACCCGGGGCCGATGCCGTCACAGTGTAGGTGCCAGGTAACAGAAGTCTGAAATAGTCGCCATCCACTCCTGTAGGAATGCAAATAATAAAAAAGGATGAGATTCCAACTTGTCTGATTCAAATCTAAATGTTTTATTCATTTGTAAAAATTACTGAATTACTTGATGCGTCTTCTTTGTTTATACAAAGATACTGTTACACTAGAATACAAATTTTTTAGTATCTTGTTATTGGCCACACTGGCACTGTTCAGCAAAAGCTAAAAGGTGTTTTTAAAGTATAAAATCAAAGGTACCCACTTTTCGGGCATAATTACTAAGGTTAAGCTACAGTATTTATTATTACAGATTCAGCAAACCAGTATATCAGAGCTAACCTTGAGTAAAGTAGTCCTGTAAAGGTAAATACAGCCGTTATTTTTAAAGTGCATTCCCACCATTGGCCACTAGAGGACGGCTTGTTCCATGCCAGTGTGAGGATGGACTGCCCTATTCTTACCTAATCTCCTCACTAGCCAGGACATTTGCAGATGATTGACTACAGACACCCCCCACACTCAAATACTTCTTCAACCCTGCAGTTGAGTAAAATATCCCACAAAATAACAACCAGCTCTGTGTAACAATGAACTGACACCCCCGGCAGCCCCTTCTCACCGGTGGTCACATCGTGGTTGACGCCAGCCACCGAGATCTCAGCGTTGCCAAGAGGGTTATTGTTTTCATCATACACCATGCCTTTGATCCCATGATGCACCTGCAAAAAACCACAACGTTATTTTCTATTTAGTTTCACCAATAACTGAATGTACTCTCTTGTTCAATCATGTCGTTTTGGCTCGAGCTTTTGCCACAAAAAATGTAAGACATATTTCAGCATGTCAGACAATGCACAGTGCTGCAGTGACTCTCATTCCAATACATTTTTTGGAATTAGAGTCAATTTTACCAAGCCCGTTTTCAATTTGTTTTTCAGGACCTTTAACTTTGGTCTGTTTCATCAAACCTGCAAAAGGCATTACTGCGCCCTAAAACTCTGAGTGGCAATGCATTACTGTTTCTTATCTCAGGACTCAAGATATATTTAAACCTCCAACCAAAGCCTCTTTTCATACTTGAATGAGGAAAGTCAGTTTAAGCTCAATTACAGGTCATTCCAGGTTGCTTTACACAGGAAATCCCAACCAATATTTACAGGAAGCCAGGGAAGTGGACTCATTAATCTTGGTAAGTTGGGTTTTTGTGTGTAACTACTGTAAGTCTTTGTATTTGTGTGCACCAATTTAAAGATTAAACCATTTACCAAATAGGGATGTGTGTGTGTGTGTGTGTGTGTGTGTGTGTGTGTGTGTGTGTGTGTGTGTGTGTGTGTGTGTGTGTGTGTGTAGTGTGCGTACGTAGTACGTACGTACGTACGTAGTACGTACGTAGTACGTACGTACGTACGTACGTACGTACGTACGTACGTACGTACGTACGTACGTACGTACGTACGTACGTACGTAGTTAGTAGTTAGTT